GAACACAGGCATAAAAACCCCCACCACAGACAGGCAGCATCCCTGCAAAGATCTGGGTGTTCCCATATGCTTTAAATCCACTGACAAAAAACTTGTCCCAAAATCAATGCTGAAAAACAAGTAGTCTAAAAGATAATTTATATTTCACTGGAAGAAACAAAAATAGAACAGGATATTTCAGGGAGTTACTAACTTAAAAACTACTAAATAGAGACAAAATCAACAATAAAAAAAACAAGTGATCTAAAAGATTACTTCATTCGAATAAAATTAAAAAAAGGTTATCTGTGGAAATCACTGGTTTGGAACAACTCCACTGAATTGAATCAAGAGTTAACTAATTTTCAGGCTCTGCCCAGTTGCAACAGGAACCACAGCAAGGTGGGAGAAGATGGGCTGTATTGTGAAGGGAAAAATTGCAAGACTGCAGCTTTTAGATCAGCATTGTTGCAATTATTCTACATCCATATGAAGCACAGAGGCAGCCAAGTCCTCATCATTAAAATGCTGCACCACAGCTGGCAACCTCAGCTGACAGCTCCAAAACTGCCATGCCCACGTATTTATTGACTCTCTGGTAGGACACAGTGTGCAAGCCCTTTGAAATGGCCACTGTCCTCAAATGATCTCCGTGCCTGCAGCCGCAGCCCTTTGACAAACCGCAAAAATGCAAATTCCAGCGCCCTGAATCCCTGGGGATTTACTGTGCTGTGCCTTGAATGCACAGAGAGATTGTTCCAGGCTCTGTGAGTCTGTGGGGTAGATCATGAAAAGCAAAGCAAGAAAAGCCCCAAGCAGTATCTCACCTGTGACGCTCTGGGGAACACCAGTGGGGGGCTGCTGAGGGAAAGGCGGTGCCTGGCAGCAGGGCTGTGCACCCACGGCCTCTTCTCCTACCAGGTGGGGCGTTCTTTTAGGTTCCCTGCTGTTGCCCAGGGACCTAACTGCATGGAAACTCTGTCAACCCTCAGCTAATGCTCAAGAGCCACTAGCAAAAAAAATGATAAGCACATTGTGAGTAGAGAAGCCTCAGTTTATTAGGAAACAATGCTTTTAAAAGGGCTGTATGTAAGAACCTTTTTAATCCAATGTCACACCTGAAGACAAAACTCTGCCCTAAAGAAGCACCCAGCTGCCTCTCTCTCTTTTCACTACTTCTTCCTAATGTCTTTCTCTGAGTGTAATGTAGCTCTAAGGGTCCATCCAGCCCTGCTGTATAAAGTGTGGCTGCACCACACTCATGAACCATTTCCAGGGGCTTACACACCCCTGCAGGAGCCTGAAAGGAGGCTCTGCCTGGATTCCCACTTTCCTTCCTTGCTTTGGGGCAGGAGGAGACTTTTCAGCAGTCTTTGAGGAGCCTGATGGCCACAGCCAGGTTCTGGCTCACTGACAATGAGTTATTACTGGGAGCTATTTGCTGCTGTTCAGGCAGGATTTTGGACAATTTCATTCTGTTTTTTCCTTTTTCCTCTGAAATTGGTGCCTGCATTATTCATCAGGAACTACACTACCTTGGAGCTTCCAGCTCTTGATTCGGCTGTTCAGACCACAAATTACTGTCAAGGACAAAATTTGTTGCTCAGAGCCAGAACTCAGCTCTGGTCACTGTTCTGCTGCACTGTCTTACCCCAGTTCAAGTCATCTTTGACCCAAATAGTAAAAAGCTGACATCCTTGATGCCTTCCTGTCTGGATGTCAGGGATATGAGTTTGATAGTGGGGTGGAAATGGGATCTTTTCATTTGTGTTACACAGCAATCTTCTGCAAGAGGATTGCAGAAAAATGGGGCTCATCTTAAATCACTGGGCTACACTGCGTGAAGTTAGAAATATCTCCCGGATAATTAAAACAATAAACTTGAATATCAGTGACCAGTAGAGACTAAGATGGACAAGAATTATCAAACAATATATCAAACGCTTAGTAGTTCACAAAATCAAATAGAAAAAGAGCATTGCATGGCTAACTTTTTACAGAGCTGTGCGTGTGCTGAACATGGTTCAGGAGAACAGTGTCACTGCTGTGAATGGGACTGTCTGGTTAAGCACACACACATCTTCCCAAATCCTTGTCAGACACATTCCTTGGGGCATTACTGCAGAATGCTGCCTTTAAAATGACAGTCTCTCCACATTTCAGAAATGAAATATCCAGTTACGGAACCTGACATTTCAAAAATCAGAAAGCAGATGAGATAGTTACTAAATCAATAAGTTTCAAATGTGTAGAATGAAAAATGTGAGTACTTTTTCCCCCCTCTATTTAATTATTTAAGTGTATAAATATTTGGTATTTTATCTGTCTCAGAAAGATGCAGCTTGGCTCAAATGTTATGCAGAGAAATCTGAGTAGCCCCAAGAAGTTGCTGCCCAGCCCGTGGGAGATGCAGACGAGTGGCAGGGCGCTCATCACGAGGAGAATTAACTCGGGCAGGTGAACCCGTGCTCTGGGGGTCACGCGCTCCCCCGCCCCCCTCACATTTATCACTGGACACACTTTGCAATTCATGAGTGGAGATGCTTATTCTGATGTGTCAGCGAGAAAATCCTCTGGTGAAAAGCCAGAACGCGCTTGTCTTTCTATGAAACTGGCAGAGAGAGGAATAAATTCCGCAGCTTATCTTGGCACCAGAGCCGTCAGCTCTACTGGCAAGAGATTCCTACCATGAATTGCAGCCTCGGCCTCCTACATCTCATCTACTGCACGGCTGGCACAGCAGGAGGATGGTTCCCATCCAAATCCAACACCGTACCCGTAACTCTCCCAGAATGTTTGGAAAGAGCCATAATCATCCAAGTACTATTCATCTTTCTGTGTGTTCATTTCCCTATAGGCAACATATATCTCAGGTTTAAAATTATAGCCAATGTGCTGCAGATATTTTTAACCACTAGATCTTGCTATATGTTAGCCAGAAAAAAAAAAAAAAAAAAGAGGAAAAAGCAACTCCCTGCGTTTCCAAAGTCTGCAGGCTGCATTATAGCTTCAGCTTAGTAATTACAAAGATTTATGTTCCATTCTGCCCCAAATCCAGAGCTCATTGTCCATTCAACTTACACTGCTTTGACTTACAGTTCTCTGTATCCATTATCTTTAATAATAAAGAGCTGACTAAACTTAATGATTGAAGAGCAAGATGTGATTAGTAATAGGAATCTAATTTATGAGAAAACAAACCAGAGTACGGTTTTCATGTTTCATTAAAATTATCTTAAATGTACTCCTTAATGTTAATTGATCTCACAGAGGTGAGAAAATACTCTGTTCTGAATTAATGGGAGAAAATAATTCATCTTCTTTCTGGAGGGAACATTTAATATCATTCAGCATTTAGAGGGAGATGGCATCTTCACAGTGATTTCACCAGTGTTTCAGTGTGGACACATATCTCAAATCTGCAAGATTTCCCACTGAACGAGGGAAAAATTCAACAGAATAAACATACACCCAAATGCCATATATAATGTTTTCTTTTCACAAAAGGTCCTTCCTATCTTTGCAAAATTACCCAAAGCTGAAAAACAATGCTGACGAGCAAATATAGAGCAGGGTTTCTCCCTGAGTTTATCAAAGGAAAACTCTTTGATGACTCTTAATTTGCTATGAGCAGGAGATTACTGAGACATTTGCAAGATAAAGTTCACTGCAGAATTTATTGAAAACAAAACAAAGCAGAAATCTATTTTTCCACTAAGTATGTTGCTTTTGTTTGTATTTCAATGATTTTTTTCCCTCTTTTTTGAATTATTCATATTTGGATATCATATATTCTTACAAACCAATGTGTGTAAGAATAATGAGTCTCGAATAGCTTCATTTTAACTCATAGTGCTTTATGCCCAGGATTATTATTATTATTATTATTAGAGGACCTTCTATTCAGTCTGTTTCTAAGATCCATAAATAGAATTTGCCTAATGAGCATCTCAAGTATTCATCTGTCATTTTCATGGCAGTTTTTCTTATCCTACGTTTGTATAGATCTGATGACAACACCTATTAATACAGAGCAATAGGTCTTTGCCTACTTCCTCTCAAATCCCTTCCATTAATACAACCTTCTCTATTCTGGGCTGGAATCTTGTACCTTTACAATGTTTGAGAAGTGCAAAGTGGCCATAATATCAACTGAAGGAACAATTGGAGAACTTCAAAAGTTGCTCCATGAGAAATACCACAACTGCAGCAATAATTATTACATTTTCTGTTGAAACAGGAAAAATTTCCTCTTGTCTTGTTCTCATATTCTACGTGAACAGGATTTGCATATTTGGTTTGCAAAGCAGCAGGGAAAAATACACTCTGCAATGCACTCAATCCATGAATACCTATACCACAGAATGAAGGTAGAGAAGAATAAAGGAAGAGATGCAGAGTTTCTGTCACTACCTACAGGGGTATGTTATGGAGACAATAATACATATTCCATGAGGAATCAGCAGGGAGTTCTGGGGGCAGGGAGGCAGATCCCTTCTAGAAGAGGAATAAATATATTACACTTCTATATGGTTTCTTGTATTTCTCTCTTCTTGTGCTTCTCCTAAGGCACTTTCCCCCCATTTCCTTTGTATGTGACTCAAAGTACATGCCAGGACTTCTGTAAGCAAGCTGACAAAAGAAGCTGAGAGAAGCTCAACAAATCTGACCCTGAGCTCTCTGTTTGTTGAACTGACAAAGCACAGTGTGCAGCACTGCAGTCTTGCAGACCTGGAACATCAGCTGCTAAAACCACCACCACCTAATCCAGCTACCCGTGTGTTGGGTAATCTCGGCCCACGTCCGTTTGTTGCACTGGGATGACTCCGTCATTTCAGATGCCAAGGAAGGGATTATGGTGATTTTTTTAGTCAGAAGACAATAGTTGTGTCAGTGAACATTCTAGGGCCACATCACCCCTTACTTTCTATTTTGATTTTACCCTGGCTTTCATTTTTCTTACACCATCCACATCACCGCTTTGCCTGAATTCAGGAGAGAGCGAGGAAAAGCCCGCTTACCGTTCGGGAATCCCAGAGGGACAAAGTCTTGTCAGCAGAGCTCGTGAGAACGGTGCTGGAGAAGGGAAGGAACTCAATGCTGTTGACTGAATCTTTATGGCCACGCAACGTGTGTCTGCATCTCTCACTGCAAAAGAAAATAACAGAAATACAGCATTTGCCATTCAGGGTAATAAAAACAGCAGACAAGTTTAGGTAAATGACTGACACATTTCTTGTCTCTTCCCCAGCTACTGTCCAGAACAACGGAACATTGACAGCTATTCATCACCCAAGCACTACACCACAGGGGCAACAATAAAACCCCATCAGCTGGTGTTTGCTTCCCAGTAATGAAGGCTATAGTGAAAGGCAAAAAGAAATGAAGAAGCAGGTTTTAAGAGATTCAATCCTAAGGAGCCACAATGAAAGCACCACTTGATGTTTCCTGGGTGCATCCTCAGAAACCTCACTGATGTAGAGCCTAAAGGGAATATGGATGAAAAGGTAGGATAGGGACAGGACCATTTCTCTTTCAAAGATATCATATTCCTTCTTGCTTACAAAGGGTCTGAGAAACCTACTAGACTGTAGGTCTACACATGCACCTTGAAGAAAGCTAGAGAGTGCTGGAAATCCTACTTTTCTCTCAAGGTCTTCAGAAAGGTTTCTAGAAACTCAGTGATGCCTGGGAGGGTAAAGTCTTGTCACTGTGGACACCCAAGATCCCTTGTCCCTGAACAAGAGGTCTCCTACCATGGATCAAGCACACCAGTAGCCATTATAAGCTCTCTGTTTGTAAAGCAGATGTGAGGGAACAGAGGTGTACCCCAAGAATCAAGGTACTTAGCATGAACTGACATCAGCTCAAAAGGAATTACTTTGTGAAATGGTTCTGAAAGTTCTTTCAAGGTTGAAGACACCCAACTACTGCACCTTCTCCCAGTCCATCAGCTATGAAGCAATACCCTAGAGTTTTTTGTTTGCTTTCTTACCTTTTTGTTCTGTTTTTTTTTAATGACTTTATTTCTGAGACAACACTGTTGATCCTTCTCGCTGAGAGTATGAACCTGATACAGATGGGAAGCTTCTCCCATCATAAGGAACAGACACACAGCCACGATGACACCGCTGTAGAGAATCTATTCTCTCACAAAACAGCCCATGATCCTGTGAAAGCTTTTTAGGTTTGGCTTTGTTTTCTGTGTACGCACCAGATCAGAACGTTCCTTAAACTGGAGTCCCAGAGAAGAGAAGGAAGAGCCCAAGGATGCCCTACCAGGACAACACAGAAGGTAACAAACAAATCTGGGATTATTTAAACTGAACAGAACGGCAAAGGCTTAACTCCTAGAGAAGCAGGGGAGACAGTTGAAATGAACTGGTATTTATCAGTCATTATGGCTGTGCACAAGAGTTGCCCACACTGATTCAGGTCTCACTCCATGATTTCTTTGGATACACATAAAAATAAATGTGCAGTGTCTGTATTATTATATCCTGTGAAAACATACAGGTATGTGAGCATACTGTGGAAAAAACTAATCAATGTAAAGTCAGTAGCAGTTCTATCCTCTTTGTTCAGCTGAGTCAAAAATAGTATGAAAAAATTAAAGCCAACAACTCATCGTAAATTATTGCAGCTTTCAGTGAGAGCTCAGAATTTTATGCCCTGCTCCTGTGATTCTGACAGTAGAAACACACCTCCCCTGAGCTGGCTGCTGAATATATCATTGGGGCTTGCAAATTAGATTACTGGGTGGCTCTTAACAGAGAAATTTCTTACCAAATTTATTAAGGAAGCTGTCAGAAGGGAGGAATTAAAGATGTGATTTTTTTTTCCTTTGTTTTTTTTTTTTTTTCCTGCCTGTATGTCACCAGAAGACTCTCGGAGCTCTTGCGGGTTTTGTATCAACAGCACAGAAGATGAGTTTCTAGAGATCAGGTGCAGGCCAGGAGAGCTGCAAGGTTTGGATGGACAGCACCCTGATCACTGGTCTAACACAGAGACTTCTCAGATGTATTTTAGTGCTTTTCTACTTCCCAGACTGGAACCATCCGCTGTGCTGAGCTGAACACCAAGCCTGTCCCCACAGAAGGGAGGCCAGGAGGGAGATAAGTAGCTTCCGAGTAGAAATATTACCCAGGATATAGATTTCAAAGAAATATTAGATTCCACTGGTATCATTTCACAGAATCTATGTTTTTCTATTATAGCTAATACATTATACTATCCAGTGTTATCTGCTATATAGCCTACATGTGTTATCACAAGGACTCATTTTAAACTAGTCATAAAGTATTGTGGCTGTTAGTGCTCAGTGCACAAGGTATCTGATATTCACGATCACTTGATCTATGACAATAAAGTAACTTCAATAAAGTAATTTTTTTGTTTCACAGACTCGTGGCAATGTTTTACACCAGAGAATATACCTTTCTCATCTCAGATCTTACACCTTTATTTGTCTACAGGTATGCCATTTTTCAAAGGTGCCCAATGATTTCCTGCTTGCCTGTTACACTATGAAGACTTTGAGTTGCTGAACAGTTTCTGACAAGGAAAATCCTCCTGTGTATTTTTTGGGCTCTTACTAGTTTTGAAAACAACTTTACATACCAGAGTGTGACAGTGTTCCACTAGAACCAAAGGGGATATCTTCCTGCAATAAAAGCATGTATGTCTGTCCTCTTCAAAGACTGGGGGAGAACAGCATCTTCAACCTGCTTGAGAGGGCTTGGGGTGAAAGAGTACAGGAAAAGGAAGGAGGGGGAAGGAATATTTTGTTTGTGAGGCACTGATGTAAGATATGGACCATCCCAGGCAGCCAGGCTGCAAGAACAGGCTTGTGAGAGATTAATTAGATGGCAAAGCAGGAAGGCCCATTCAGAATCCCTTAGCAAGGTGAAAATGGACTAAAGTGATGGACCATGACAGCAGCAGAAGAGAAGGAAATGATTTGCACTTTTCCATCAGGAACATAAACCCCCAGACCTGATGCAGCTGCCTGCACTTCCATATCACTGCATGCTGATGAGCGAGCTCTGGCTCTCGAGATTTAATTTACCACTCTGGTAACTGACTGACTGAATATTTCTAAGAACTTTTCTCCAACTGCTACATAAAATAAACTCATCTTTCCTTCCAGCTGAGATATAATTTCAGCAAGACTGGTTTGTATACCAGCTATCTTCTGGTCAGAAAGGCCAACAGTTTATTTACATGTTCTTTTTCCATAAAAAAGAAGTTGATAGGAAGGGTAGAGTATCACCCTGTTTTTCATGGGAGCTCATGATTCTATCCAATGGTTCAAGTTTATCTACATTAAAGTAAATCTGCAGCAACATTCACTAAGTTTTTTTTTCCCCACTGTGAACACACAGCCTCATGGATATAAACCTCACCATCTCTGAACATTCCAGCTCGGAAGACAGAGGGAATCATCTATGAAAAGCAGCTTAGGCATTTGCAGAACTCTTGTTGCCTATATCCAGTGACAGAGAAAGAGATCCTGAATAAATGGTGCCACAGTAGAAATACTGTTCAGTAGTTCAGTATTTTGCAGATTTTATTCTGAATCTCACCTCAGATGCCAATTCCAACGCTCATGCTGTGTTACTACTACTTTTTCAACATAAAACATCAGCTAACACATTTTCTTGGCTCATGACTAATTATCTTCAATGTTCTCTTTTTCTCTACAGAGTAAATTCCCTTCCCTTAAATCCAGGTAAGGCAATTATGTCCATCAGTAAATCAGCCTTCAATCTAGCTCACCAGGTTTTGATTTGTCTTTTCAAACATGGCTGGATACTTATAAAGAAGCACACCTATTCCATGAATGTTGGCATTTCAATTTAATTGAACCATTACCAATATCACTAGCTCAGCAGCGACGAGAAAATTTTACTTGCTCAGTTTTCAGAGACTTCTGTTTTGAAAATCACATCCCAGAATGGTTCATTCAAATTCCAAAGGGCTTTCAGTAAAACTGCATTGAAAACAGCAGATATGAAACATTTCCACTCACATGAGACTCCGCTGAATATTACCAGGCTGCCATCTCTCCTCTAATGTACAACAGTAGCCAAAAAATGCACCAGTTAGATATTCCATCAACTGCACAGTAATTGAAAAGAAAATACAGATAGTGGGTAGATTCCTCTTCCCCTGCATCCTTTCCTAGTTGCACAGAGGAGTTAAAATTCAGGAGGGAGACCAAGCTGGCACACCCTGATGGGAACATTCCACAATTGCCTAGTACATATTCATGGCTCAAGGCCACACAGTGCCCAACCTGCACAGGTCAGCACTCATTTCCTGAGCCACAAGCTCAGGAAATCTCAGATCACACGTTGCCTATTCTTTTGCTATTTAGAAGTGTTTTTTTTAAAACACCCAACATCCAACACACACATGCTGGTGCTCCTATGAAATCAGGACAAGCTCTGCCTCCTTTCCTCATTTTTTTTCTTTTTTTTTTTTCTTAAAGCATGTGGTTTCTAAGTTCAGCTTTGTTGGAAAAATTGAGGGAGTGGAGGGTGATGCCATTTTAGTGATTAGTTGGGTAGTCATAATTACTTCTTTTATTGCTGTGCCATATTAAATCTCAGTTCAAGCATAGTAATTAAAAGCACCTATACAGCCAATTGAAATTAATGAGATTTTAAGCATGTTCTTCGGAGTCAGTGCCTCTATCAACCATCTTTTCACATGCCTTCCAGAGGGATTCATTAAATGCACAGGTACTCCCAAACTGTACTATCTTCCCCAACAATTGCTTTTCAAATCATCCCACAGAACAAAGACTGAACTAAACTCTCTCTCTCTCATGTCTGTTCAATAACATTCTTCTGTGTGAGCTGCAATCACCAGCAGGGGAATTGCCAAGGTAAATTACACCAGAGTCACCCGTGAGGAAGGTGGACACAACATTTCTGAGGAAGTTTTGTAAGGACACACCACAACCTGTCTCCAACCCTGTGATATAATTGTAACAGTTAAAAGGAGAGTATTTTTAACAAAACCAAATCCTATCACTTTCCCATTATATGGCTTTATCTCCAAAATGTGTTTAAATTAGGCATAGAACTTTCCCAGCCAAGATCAATGGCCAAGTATAGCAAATGGGCTGGCTTAAGACATTA